CCCCCTCACCAGCGTCAAGAAACCTCCCTTAAGGGGACTACATCAAGAACAGAAGCGTAGTTTAATGTAGTTTATATGACGTGGGTGGGGGGGGGGAGATACTAAGTTAGTAATCAAAAACCGATTTGTATATAAAGAAAGAGGGCGCTGCCGTGAGACATTGATCACAGGTTCTAGGAGAGTGGTTCGGAAACCTGGGTTGGTAGTTTCAACATTTCTGCCTAGTTAGTTTAATGTTTTTATTATGCACCCTATAGCCATCCTGTGGGCGGTAGTCAAAAGATTACAGAGGTACATCATGGGTCCAGGGACTGTGCCCCAAAGTTTGATGGCTGAACAAATTACAAAGGTAATGAACCGCGGGTTCAATCCCGGCCGGGGGTATGGTTTTAATGAACCATTTACATGTATATATCTGGTCACAATCATGAACTGGTGTGTTGCTGTATTTACACTGTAGTCAGGTAAACTGACCCACACGAAACAGCTGACAAGGCGCCTCCCACACCTGACTTCTCTGCCCCTGTGTATTCTGACTACCTCTCGTGCATTGAATTGGATTGACAAACCTCCCAGGAGCGAAACGTGTTATATTCTGGAGTTTACCTGGAGAGAGTTCCGGGGGTCAACGCCCCCGCGCCCCGGTCTGTGACCAGGCCTCCTGGTGGATCAGAGCCTGATCAACCAGGCTGTTGCTGCTGGCTGCACGCAAACCAACGTACGAGCCACAGCCCGGCTGATCCGAAACTGACTTTAGGTGCTTGTCCAGTGCCAGCTTGAAGACTGCCAGGGGTCTGTTGGTAATCCCCCTTATGTGTGCTGGGAGGCAGTTGAACAGTCTCGGGCCCCTGACACTTATTGTATGGTCTCTTAACGTGCTAGTGACACCCCTGCTTTTCATTGGGGGGATGGTGCATCGTCTGCCAAGTCTTTTGCTTTCGTAGTGAGTGATTTTCGTGTGCAAGTTCGGTACTAGTCCCTCTAGGATTTTCCAGGTGTATATAATCATGTATCTCTCCCTCCTGCGTTCCAGGGAATACAGGTTTAGGAACCTCAAGCGCTCCCAATAATTGAGGTGTTTTATCTCCGTTATGCGCGCCGTGAAAGTTCTCTGTACATTTTCTAGGTCGGCAATTTCACCTGCCTTGAAAGGTGCTGTTAGTGTGCAGCAATATTCCAGCCTAGATAGAACAAGTGACCTGAAGAGTGTCATCATGGGCTTGGCCTCCCTAGTTTTGAAGGTTCTCATTATCCATCTGATGGCAAACGCACACCAGCTTCCTCTCTTACGTTTCCCGCTATCATAACCTTTAATAATTAAACACAAAATGTGGATTTTGCATTATTAATCATGATACTGTCTAATTAACTGACTATATCTTCCATCATAGACCCATGGAAAAACACTGTTTCTTCTTCCTGTCTTTATTGCAAGATGCTGTCAGGGCCAACAGATGAGACTCTAACAAAAATTATGTTATTATCTACACCAGTTGCAATTTTTACCCTGATAAATTAGACACATGTGCAACTCTTGGGTATCTTTATTGAGGAAACGTTTCGCCACACAGTGGCTTCATCAGTCCATACACAGGAGAAGCTAGAAGAACAGGAGGAGAATGAGGTAATCATTCCCTCAGCCTTGAGTCGATGTGGTCAGTCCATCAATCTTGAATAGAATACGGCATATGAGCGGAGAAGGAGCTTATAAACCGTAGGCAGGAGAGGTGCAGCAGACGTAGGTGGTGTCACATTTGTCCAATGTGGAAGTA